CAGGCAAATACTGTCAGCCTCTTAAAATACTGCAGGCAAGTTCGGATCCTTCCTTTCCCCACTACTCTGTAATTATTATTATAATGCGCTCTACGTGACAGGCTACAGCTGGGGAAACACACACGGCGAAAGCCAAACTGAATGGAAGCGTTGCGGAGTTAGCGAAGTAGAAAGGGAGGAAGCGTAAGGGAGGATATCGAGTGGTGAAGCCGATTAGTGACCTGTCGGCCTGTGATCAGTGTACTGCCTTGAGTGAAGAATAGGAACGTGACATTTGGTTATCCTTCTGAAAAGTAGCCTCGATCGAGAAGTTTGCGATTGAAAAAAAAAAAAAAAAGACACTGTTAAACTTCCCGCTTTGGGGATCTTTTGAAATGCAAGGTTCTTAGGTTCTCAAAGAATCCAGCAGGTAACGCTGATGGATTTTCCTGAGGCAGCCTAGTTTTACCAACAGTGGTTTGAAACAACCAGGAGAAGTGAACCGATGTCCTCCTGCCTTGTTCTATGAAAGAGCTGCCTTTACATCTCCTCGCTATGACAAACCTCAGCATGTTTTGCTTCCGAGAGTACTACCTTTCAGTGCAAATTGTGGCTACTATTTATTCAGCATACATTCATATCTGTCACTGATTCCTTGCCTGCTGAGAAGCCTGGCAGGAGAGTTTATTTATACATAATAATATGTAACTTATTTATTTATACAAATCAATCCTAATCAGGCTCCATAATTTTCATATTGCTCAGCTGCAAAAACGGCCTGGCTTTTCGCAACGCGATGGGAAGACAGGAGCAGGAAATAGGTGGGAAAGGGGAAAACCTTGACACCACGTCATGTAGCGCATGTGACTGCAGAATTAAGATTCCGACAGTGTTTTTCACGTTGTCCATGAAAACAGCCGACGGGGAAGCTAGTGTTTCAGTGGATACCCTTTCAAGGTTTCAGTGAGCAAGTGTTTTAAGGTGAGGTTGGAGAAAGTGGTTGGGCATGAGAAGGAAGGCCACGTAGACGAAGGTGGGAGAAACCAGCGTTACAGATAGAAAAGCCGAGGGAGTACGAGGAGAACGTAAAGAGCTGCCTCTGCGTTGTGCAGGCAGACTGAATTATTTCTTCCGTTTAGCCGGGAAGACGCCCGCCAGCTTTTCTGGCCCCCCTGGCCCCCGCGACCCCGGAGGAATGACCAGCTCCCTTAAAGAGGAAAGCCAGGGCTCGCGCCCCGGCCCCCCAGCAGCTGCCAGCCCCCCGTTTCTGACTCTGCACCCCACTCCTCTTCAGCCCTCCGGGCCCCCGAGGCGTGCCGCCAGGCCAGTCCGATGTGCTCTGCGCCCGATGAGCGGCGTTGGTTCGGTCAGCTTTCATTGACTAGTTGGTTGTTTTCTGCTTTGGCTCAAGGAAGGGTGGCGGGTTGTCGTTTGTTTGGGTTTGTATTATTTTTTTTTTTTTTCTTCTTTGCGCCATTCCGGTTTTAATTCACAGCGAGAGCATGCAAAGTTGTGGACGAGGAGTCTTTACTCCCCAGTTTCTCGATTATACAACGCAGTGCGCTTCCCTCCCATAGCTTCTGCGGGAGGAACATCTGGTTGTTTGACTCATTTCCAAGATGCCGAAGATCTCCGAGAATACAAACCTCTATTGGCTTGTGGGGAGGTAAGATTATACATATGCCCACGAAAAAGGCAAACCCAGGGCATGCAAAAACGTGCTTTTTCCTAGAGCCTGGCGCTGGTTTTTTTTTTTTTTTTTTTTTTGCTGAGGAGCCTGAGTGTTAAGGCACTGTTTGCAGCCCTGATAGTCTCCGAGCTGGAAATGCGTGCCTGTGCTCTCCCTCCGGGCTGTTCTGGGCCACCTGAGGCTGGTCCCTGGCCAGCAGCTCTGTTCTGCCTGGGCCGGTGCCGGCCGCTGGCCCAGTGCCCGCAGCCCAAGCTCCCCAAAGCCCCCAGGATCGGGATCTCCCCCCACCCCGTGTTTCTGGAGGGGCAGGCTCAGACCTCTCCACTGAGCTGCCGTTACCGCCCACCAGGGTAAAAAGCAACAATTGGTTTTTCAATTGATCCATACATTTCTACTCTTGTGCTGTTTATACCTTCTATATGGTAATTTTTTTGGTTTTTTTTTTTTTTTTAAATGTATTTGCGTGAAAAGTCTAGGAGGGAAACTAAAAATGAGATACCTCGGAGCCTGAAAAATTTGTTTATACATCCATAATCAGGTTTTAACTGAGAGGTGACATCAGTGACATTTTTTTGGAGAAATCCCTCTCCAAATTCTTATGTGAATTAGTGGAACAAACTCCGAAGGGTCCTGCAATGTAACGATCCGGAGTCACCTACACACAGCTTACACGGTCACCGAGACAGAGAAGCAAACCACTTTTTTGTTGTCAACACATGGCTGTAGACATACTGATAGGAAACAGGGTTACTTTTGAACCTTTAAAACCGTAATTTCGTCAGGAAATCAAATCATCAGGATGAAATTATCCGCTGGTTAAACACCGGCAGCCAAAAATTAAATCCGGGGAAGAGAAGGGAGAAGGAAATACAAACCTTATTTATTGAAAATTTGTGTTATAGTTCTCTTTGCTAGTTCAAGGTATCTTATTAAGTTTCTTTCCCTCTGCACCTGTATTTTACACACCTCTCCCGCTCTTCTCGGAGCCTAAACTGCGATTTCCGCAGTGCCGGGGCAGAAGAGCTCTCCGGGCCGAGCTGTGCCAAGGCGGGAGCCCCGGCGGCCACGGGCCGGGCCGTGGCGGGGAGGGGACCCGCAGGCGGAGCGCGGGGTGCGGCCAGGGGGCACGAGCGATGGGGGCCAACCCCGCCAGGAACGCCGGGAGGTGCCGAGGGCCCCAAGGGCCGAGCCCCGCGGCCCTGCCCGCCCGGCGGCCTGCGGAGCGGGGGGCCGCGCAACCGGGGCCGCGCAACCGAAGCGCCGGCAAAGGCGCCCAGCCGTGCCCAGCCGTGCCCAGCCGAGCCGTGCCCAGCCGTGCCGTGCCGTGCCGTGCGGAGCCGTGCCCAGCCGTGCCGTGCCGAGCCGTGCCGTGCCGAGCCGTGCCGTGCCGTGCCGTGCCCAGCCGTGCCCAGCCGTGCCGTGCCCAGCCGTGCCGAGCCGTGCCGTGCCGTGCCCAGCCGTGCCGTGCCCAGCCGTGCCGTGCCGTGCCCAGCCGTGCCCAGCCGAGCCGTGCCGAGCCGTGCCGTGCCCAGCTGTGCCGAGCCGTGCCCAGCCATGCCGTGCCCAGCCGTGCCGAGCCATGCCGTGCCATGCCCAGCCGTGCCCAGCCGTGCCCAACCGAGCCGTGCCCAGCCGTGCCCAGCCGAGCCGTGCCGTGCCCAGCCATGCCCAGCCGTGCCGTGCCGTGCCCAGCCGTGCCCAGCCATGCCGTGCCGAGCCGTGCCCAGCCGTGCCGTGCCCAGCCGTGCCGTGCCCAGCCGTGCCCAGCCATGCCGTGCCGAGCCGTGCCCAGCCGTGCCGTGCCCAGCCGTGCCGTGCCCAGCCGTGCCGTGCCGTGCCCAGCCGTGCCGTGCCGAGCCGTGCCCAGCCGTGCCGTGCCCAGCCGTGCCGTGCCGTGCCCAGCCGTGCCGTGCCGAGCCGTGCCCAGCCGTGCCGTGCCCAGCCGTGCCGTGCCCAGCCGTGCCCAGCCATGCCGTGCCGAGCCGTGCCCAGCCGTGCCGTGCCCAGCCGTGCCGTGCCCAGCCGTGCCGTGCCGTGCCCAGCCGTGCCGTGCCGAGCCGTGCCCAGCCGTGCCGTGCCCAGCCGTGCCGTGCCCAGCCGTGCCGTGCCGTGCCCAGCCGTGCCGTGCCGAGCCGTGCCCAGCCGTGCCGTGCCCAGCCGTGCCGTGCCCAGCCGTGCCCAGCCATGCCGTGCCGAGCCGTGCCCAGCCGTGCCGTGCCCAGCCGTGCCGTGCCCAGCCGTGCCGTGCCGTGCCCAGCCGTGCCGTGCCGAGCCGTGCCCAGCCGTGCCGTGCCCAGCCGTGCCGTGCCGTGCCCAGCCGTGCCGTGCCGAGCCGTGCCCAGCCGTGCCGTGCCCAGCCGTGCCGTGCCCAGCCGTGCCCAGCCATGCCGTGCCGAGCCGTGCCCAGCCGTGCCGTGCCCAGCCGTGCCGTGCCCAGCCGTGCCGAGCCGTGCCCAGCCGTGCCGTGCCGTGCCGTGCCCAGCCGTGCCCAGCCGTGCCGTGGGGACAGCAGAACAGCCCTGGAGGGCGGGCACGGGGCGGGCTGACCCCGCTTCCCACACGGCCGGCTGGAATATTCCGCGATTAAACGCGGAAAATGGAATAAAGCCCGAACTCTGGGTGTTTCGTTGCCGCCGCCGCCGCCGCCGCCGCCGCCTTACAACGCACTGGTGCCAATTTCAAGAATTAGGGATAAAACAAACAAACAAATAAATAAATAAATCAGCATCATCATAAAACAAGACGTCGCCTTTCACAAAGCAGCACGACCTGCTTAAAGCTGTTCCCCCGTTCGTCGGGAACGCTGAGACGTTCAGCTCCCCCCCCCCCCCCCCCCCCCCCCCACCGGCAGCCCCCGCCGCGCTCCCGCCGACCGGCCGAAGCTCCCCGGGGCCGCCTCGCCCGTCCCGCCTCCCCCCCCCGCCTTCCCGCCAATGAGAGCGACGGCGGCTGCCGGCCGCGCCTCGCCATAGGCCGGTGTGGCTGCCAGTCCGGGGCCACCCCCCGCGGCGGGGCGCGGTGGGCGGGCGAGGCGGCGGTCGCGGTTCCGCCATCTGTCAGGGGCGCCCGCGGGCCGAGCCGCGCTCCCCCGGGCGGAGCGGAGCGGAGCGAACGCGGGGCCCTCCCCGTGCGAGTCCGCCGTCCCCCCTGTGCTCAGGCTGCGGCCCTGCCCGCCGCCTCCGCGGCTGCCCGCGGGGGAGCGGAGCGAGGAGGAGGAGGAGGAGGAGGAGGAGGAGGAGGAGGAGGAAGGAGGAGGAGGAGGAGGATGTGAGAGCGGCGGCGCCGCCCCGGCCCCGCGCTGCGCCGAGCCGAGCCGAACCGAGCCGAACGGAGCCGAACCGAGCCGAACGGAGCCGAACCGAGCCGAACCGAGCCGAACGGAGCCGAACCGAGCCGAACGGAGCCGAACCGAGCCGAACCGAGCCGAACGGAGCCGAACGGAGCCGAACGGAGCCGAGCCCAGCCGAACCGAGCCGAGCCGAACCGCCGCAGGTAACGGAGGGGCCGGGGCCGCCGCCCGTGGGGAGCAGGAAGGGGTCTGGGGGGGTGTGGGGTGTGGGTGTGGGGGGTGTGGGTGTGGGGTGTGGGGTGTGGGTGTGGGTGTGGGGGGGGATGGATGGATGGATGGATGCTGCGACGCGTTTGTTTCCTTTGTGCGCCCCGAGCGGTGCCGGGGTGCGGGGGCAGCTGGGGTGGGGAGGCGGCCGCGCCGCTGCGGGTATCCCCCCCCCCGTCCCCACGCACGGGCCCTCGCCCACGCACCCGCCTCGCGGGGAGGGCCGGGGGGGGGGGGGGCAGCGCCGGTGCTGCCCGCGGGTCACCCGTGTCCGTGGCCCCCCCCCCCCCACTGCCGGGGGGGGGGGGCGCAGCACAGGGCTGCGTTTGTCGCCGCCGAACTGCGAAAAAAGGGGGGAGGGGGAAGAAATAAAAAGACCTTCTCTCCCTCTCAGATAAATCGCGTGGGATTCTGTGACAAAGGCCGCTTTCAGGGGAGGAAGAAGGGGCGCGCAAAACGCCCGAGGGTGGTCGGGTGTGAAAAGAGGCTTTTTTTTTTTTTTTTTCTCGTCTTCCCCCCCTGGAGCCTCTCTGCCCCCCCCCCCCCCCCCCCCAGATGAGGCCGCTGAGCTGGTGCCAGCTCCTTCCCAGCCACGTTTTGGGTTGGTGAGAGATACCAAACGCCACGCCACGCCACGGGTGTCAGCGTTCTGCCGCGGCGCTAAGGCGCCGCCCGGCCCCCTCGGTAACGCTCAGCGGGGTCTCCGCTTCCCCGCGAGCTCGGCGTGTTTGGGCTCCGCGTGGATTCTGAGCGCGCGTGAGGGCTGGGGAGGGGTCACTTTGCGAAAACAAGACGGTGGCATCCCGGTCCGTTCAGGGAGGGCAGGGCCGAGTCGGTGTTGGCTGGCTGGAGGGCAGCCCTCTGCAGTTGTGCATCAGTCGCTCTGCTGCGCTCCGGTTCTGGAAATGCTAAATAACGAGTGGGAACGGGCCGGGCTTTTGAAATGCATGCGCAGGACTGGGAACGCCTTTGAGACCTTGTCGTTTTCCTCCTTGTATACAACCTCCTTAACTCCCACATCCTCCCTTCCACCAGCCCTGCAGCTGTAACACTTTCCAGTATCTCCTCCCCACACCCCCATCAGTTAGTTGTTCTTTTTTTTTTTTTTTTTATCCCCCTTGGTCTTGATATCTTTTAAACTGGTGTTCTGTGGCTGAAGCTCAAGAACAATTGCAGGTGAAGGTCTGTTTGTTTATATGCTGGTGGAGGAAGTGTTTTCATTAGGGTTGACTCGTCTGATCCCCGGTGAGGAGGAACAGTGAGCTGAAGGGACGCTGTCAGCTTGAAATCCGGGGAATGTGTGTGATGAATGGAGAGCTGTGTCCACTATTACACCCACCGGCGAGCTCCCCGCAGGAGATCTGCGGTTTTTATAAGCCTGTCTTCTGACTGTGTGGGTTTGTCATGCAGCGAAGGAGTAAAAACACACTTCAAACAAAGTTCTGTTAAGTGAACAAAGGAGACCAGAAGAAAAATACCAGAGTGGGAAGGGAGGGGAAGGCAGCATCTCCAACTTCTCAGTTGCATCCATTGCAGCCACTGCTTAACCCAGTGGGAAACTGGAGGCAAGAGAGGTTTATTTTCACAATTGAATATTTACCTAGTATCAGTAAAGTGGAACCGTTGTTACCTTCCCCCCCCCAGCGATATAGAAGCTCTCAGCACCTGGACGTGTATGCTCAGAAAACTGGTAACACCTGATGAATGTAAGTCGGTGGATGGCTCTTCACAATTTTTTTAAGAAGGGCATCTCAAAAAAAAAAAAAAAAAAAGGGTTCCTTCTTGAGCTTTTTTTTTACCCCACAAAGCAGTGATTTTGATGAAAAAGAGAAAGGAACATTGCTTAATTAACGCCTTCAAAATTTGCATTCCATCAGTAGTAGGCTGCAGAATTCTCTTAGTTTGTTAAAATGTTCAGATGCTTCTTAGAGGGTGCCTGTAAGCCTGCTTCTTCTCCACCTCTAACAAATTACTGCCTCATCTGCATGGCTCATCTCTGGCAAAAATAAAAATTTCCAGTATGAGGTTGTCTAATCGTAGGCCACTGGCTGTGGCGTTTTGTGGTTTATGCTTCAGGCATGTTGTTTCAGAAATTCTGTGTTGCCTGCTGGTGGAAGATGTAGTAGCGTGAAATACCAGTTAAGGATAAAACCCTGAACAGGCTTCTCTGGAAACTGTTTTGATGTTGAGTAAATACATGTCTTCAGCGAGGGATAAACAGCTTGGGCTTATGGGCATGGCAGCTGATGTAAGGGAGGAGCGAAGAAGGTGGTACTGAGAAGTTGCTTATTAATTATTTTCATTGTAAGTGTCTTTAAAAGTTAGATGCCATTGACAAATTTCTGTTTCATTTGAGTAAGATAAAGCATTGCTGAGGAACTAGTTACTTTTGAGATACCGTACTAAATTTCGCATCAGCTTTAGGTGAGGTGCCTGGCTGGTGTCATCTGAAATGTACGGGTGGGGTCTGATACGGAGAGGGCCTCTGTGGCCACTGGCTTAGCTGAATGAAGTTGAATACCCTAATCTGGATGTGCCAAGGTCTGCACAGGATTCACGGCGTGAGAAAATCGTGGCTAGACAAGGGAAGACAGTCTGATGCCTTTTGTGATGATTTACCACTGTAATATGGTACATCTACAACATCATTCATTTAGTTGTGTTAAGGAAGGCTTAGAGCTGTTGGCCACTTTAAGCCCAATTACTTTTATTTAACCAGCGTCTTCACTTTGCTGTCTTGCTGCATTATAGTGCTTTTACTTCAGGGAGAGGAAATGTTGCACGCTGTGTTTTCCCTTCCTCCTTCTCTCTGGGGCGCACATTAATATTTGATTCAAACTTGTTCTGTAAAGTTCTGCTTAATTCAGTTTGGGCACTACTTTGAATGTATAATAATGGCGTTTGTTTGTGTCACGGACAGTGCTTTGTAATTTGCTTTATGGGCAGGTCTGCTGCTGGCAGTGTGTATTGTCAAAGTGACCTTCCTTCGAGAGGGAGAAAACCAGTAACTCCCGTCCCTTTCCTGCCCCCGCAGCTCCCACAGAAGTATCTTTGCAAGTAATTTTGACCCATTACTCCAACACTGGGACTTGAACCGACAAATCTGATTCGCCCGAGCAGTCTCATTAAAATCCAGCAATTAGGGACTCCTCTGGTGACAAAAGGCCTACAGAGCTGTATGGTGCAAGTCAGCGATTTACTCGGAGCGAAACCCACAAAGGGGTTTGAGTGCTTCAGCGTGGGGCACCCTGAGGCCCTGCTGCCAGGGCGCTTGCGACCCCTGCAGATCTCTTGCCCCCGAGCGAGGATGTAGCCCCGCGCCGTGCCCCTCGGTGTGCCCCTCGGTGTGCCCCTCGCCGTGCCCCTCGCCGTGCCCCTCGCCGTGCCCCTCGCCGTGCCCCGCGCCGTGCCCCGCGCCGTGCCCCACGCCGTGCCCCTCGGTGTGCCCCACGCCGTGCCCCTCGCCGTGCCCCTCGCCGTGCCCCTCGGTGGCCCCTCGCCGTGCCCCTCGGTGGCCCCTCGGTGTGCCCCTCGGTGTGCCCCTCGGTGTGCCCCTCGGTGTGCCCCTCGGTGGCCCCTCGGTGTGCCCCTCGGTGTGCCCCTCGCCGTGCCCCTCGCCGTGCCCCTCGCCGTGCCCCGCGCCGTGCCCCTCGCCGTGCCCCACGCCGTGCCCCTCGGTGGCCCCACGCCGTGCCCCTCGGTGGCCCCACGCCGTGCCCCTCGGTGGCCCCACGCCGTGCCCCGCGCCGTGCCCCGCGCCGTGCCCCGCGCCGTGCCCCTCGCCGTGCCCCTCGGTGTGCCCCTCGCCGTGCCCCTCGGTGTGCCCCTCGCCGTGCCCCTCGGTGTGCCCCTCGCCGTGCCCCTTGGTGGCCCCTCGGTGTGCCCCGCGCCGTGCCCCTCGGTGTGCCCCGCGCCGTGCCCCTCGGTGGCCCCTCGCCGTGCCCCTCGGTGTGCCCCTCGGTGTGCCCCTCGGTGTGCCCCTCGGTGTGCCCCTCGGTGGCCCCTCGCCGTGCCCCACGCCGTGCCCCTCGCCGTGCCCCACGCCGTGCCCCTCGCCGTGCCCCTCGGTGGCCCCGCGCCGTGCCCCTCGCCGTGCCCCACGCCGTGCCCCTCGGTGGCCCCGCGCCGTGCCCCGCGCCGTGCCCCACGCCGTGCCCCTCGGTGGCCCCACGCCGTGCCCCACGCCGTGCCCCTCGGAGCTGCACTCCCGGCGGTGGGGGTGCCGGGGGAGTCGCTGCCAGGGCCACCCGGGGCAAAGTGCCTCAGAACGGGCTGCAACTCCGGTGCTGCGCCTGCCTGCCTGCCGGCTGTCTTACTTGCCACCACAGTGCCTTGCTCTTAGAGGTTAAAAGCCCTGACCTGCTTTTGGCAAGCTAGCTTTCTGATGCGCGTGTGTAGAAGAATTGGGATTTCTGGCACTTGCATCCCCTCGTGGGTTTTACCCTTAGTGCATGGCTTCTGGGTGGAGAAACGACGGGTCCAGATGAAATGTGAAATGTTGTTTCGATACATCCGAGAAGGATATGACGCTCCTTAAAGAGTGTGTGGGCCTTGCTCGTGCTGTCTGTGGGGCAGTCTCACTTCTTAACCCGCTCAGGCATTGGTTTGGTGTCAGGCGGGTGAGCTGCCTCTGGGTTTGAGAGTGGTCGAGTTAAACCTGGCTGTGGGAGATGTCCTTGAGCCCTGAGACTGGAAACGGGCCTGATATTACGGGAGTTTGCAGCCAAGGAGGAGCGCCCCGTTGTTCTCCTTACCGCTGGCCGCAGGAGAACAATGACATTTTGTAAAGGATTTTCAGAACTTTCACCGTCAACAGGAAGAAAACTGAACAATATCATCACTTTTACTGGGGGAAGTGAAAAATAAAATTACTTCAAAGTCAATCAAAAGATGTCACTTCGTCTTGCTTCTGACTGTTTTGTATGGTAACTTGCTG